GTTCGTGAGGCTAGTAGGTAAAATGAAAGGGGTAAGGCAGCCGGGATTGATGGGATAAAGATAGAAATGTTTAAAAGCAGGTGGGGATATAGTTTTGGAGTGGTTGGTGCAATTATTTAATAAATGTATGGAAGAGGGTAAGGTACCTAGGGATTGGCAGAGAGCATGCATAGTTCCTTTGTATAAAGGCAAAGGGGATAAAAGAGAGTGTTAAAATTATAGGGGGATAAGTTGTTGAGTATACCTGGCAAAATGTATGGTAGAGTTATTATTGAAAGAATTAAGAGTAAGACGGAGAATAGGATAGCAGATGAACAAGGAGGCTTTAGGAAAGGTAGGGGGTGTGTGGACCAGGTGTTTACAGTGAAACATATAAGTGAACAGTATTTAGAAAAAGGCTAAAGAGGTCTTTGTGGCATTTAGGATTTGGAAAAGGCATATGACAGGGTGGATAGGGGGGGAATGTGGCAGATGTTGCAGGTGTATGGTGTAGGAGGTAGGTTACTGAAAGCAGTAAAGAGTTTTTACGAGGATAGTGAGGCTCAAGTTAGAGTATGTAGGAAAGAGGGAAATTATTTCCCAGTAAAAGTAGGCCTTAGACAAGGATGTGTGATGTCACCATGGTTGTTTATATATTTATAGATGGGGTTGTAAGAGAAGTAAATGCAAGGGTCTTGGCAAGAGGCGTGGCGTTAAAAGATAAAGAATCACACATAAAGTGGGAGTTGTCACAGTTGCTCTTTGCTGATGACACTGTGCTCTTGGGAGATTCTGAAGAGAAGTTGCAGAGATTGGTGGATGAATTTGGTAGGGTGTGCAAAAGAAGAAAATTGAAAGTGAATACAGGAAAGAGTAAGGTTATGGGGATAACAAAAAGATTAGGTGATGAAAGATTGGATATCAGATTGGAGGGAGAGAGTATGGAGGAGGGAATGTATTCAGATATTTGGGAGTGGACAGGGTCAGCGGATGGGTCTATGAAAGATGAGGTGAATCATAGAATTGATGAGGGGAAAAGGGTGAGTGGTGCACTTAGGAGTCTGTGGAGACAAAGACTTTGTCCTTGGGGGCAAAGAGGGGAATGGGATGAGGTATAGTTTTACCAACGCTCTTATATGGGTGTGAAGCATGGGTGATGAATGTTGCAGCGAGGAGAAGGCTGGAGGCCCGTGGAGATTTTCATGTCTGAGGGGCAATGTTGTGGGTGAATATAATGCAGAGAATCGTAGTTTGGGAAGTTTTGGAGGAGGTGCGGGATTACCAAAACTGTTGCAGAGGGCTGAGGAAGGGTTGTTGAGGTGGTTGGGCATGTGGAGAGAATGGAGCGAAACAGAATAAAATTCAAGAGTGTATCAGTCTGTAGTGGAAGGAAGGCGGGGTAGGGGTCGGCCTAGGAAAGGGTTGGAGGGAGGGGGTAAAGGAGGGTTTGTGTGCGAGGGCTTGGACTTCCAGCAGGCTTGCGTGAGCGTTGTTTGGTAGGAGTGAATGGAGACAAATGGTTTTTAATACTTGACGTGCTGTTGGAGTGTGAGCAAAGTAACATTTATGAAGGGGTTCAGGGAAACCGGCAGGCCGGACTTGAGTCCTGGAGATGGGAAGTACAGTGCCTGCACTCTGAAGGAGGGGTGTTAATGTTGCAGTTTAAAAACTGTAGTGTAAAGCACCCTTCTGGCAAGACAGTGATGGAGTGAATGATGGTGAAAGTTTTTCTTTTTCGGGCCACCCTGCCTTGGTGGGAATCGGCCAGTGTGATAATAAAAAAATAATAAAAAAAATATTACGCTAATACACTGTATATAAATTTTCGTAAATCCATCTGTGATATTTTTAAAAAAATGTATAATAAACATGCTACATAACATATAAACATGATAAATACACCCACAATAAAGTAAATTAACATAAATATGAGATGTTTTTCCAGTCGGCTTGCCTAGCTCCTGAAATGGATTACGGCCAAAACTCAGGGTTCCGCTGTATTACTGGGGTAACTAGAAAATTACTCCTTTCCTATGCCTTCACTCAGAGTGTTATTTTTTCTAAAAATGGTGTGTTACATGAGAATGGGAGTGTTGCTTTTTATTTACTCTACTGTACCAATGTGGAGACAACTTGTACACGATGTAAGGTGTTTTATTAGGGTATAAGGGGTATAAGCTTCATGAATGTGGAAATGAAAGTGTATCGGCCATAAGCAGATGTGTTCATCTGCTTGTTTACAGATTACGCATCTCTGTCCTCTCTCGTTTACTTGTTATCTCTCTTGTTTATTTGTTTTATCTCTTTTACTTGCCTCTCACCCTACATTAGGACTACAAATATTTTAAGTAATGAGTGTACTGTATATGCATTTTTCACTCAAGGGAGCTTTAAATATTGTATATTACATGTGGGTGGGGTGGCCAGGCAGGCTACCATACCTCCCATGCCTGACTTCCTACAAATAAATACTACTCACCTTTCACCCTACATTAAGACTACAAATATTTTAAGGTAAGTAATGAGTGTATTGTGTGTGTATTTTACCTTTTATTGTTTTTTTAACCCTTTCACTGTCAGTGCCATAGTACTATGACTTGCAAGACAGTGTTGGTGCTGTAGTATTATGCCAAAATTCTAGCGGGAGAAAGCTGGTACACCTACACGTGAGAGAATGGGTCTGTGTGGTCAGTGTGCACTGTATAAAAAAAAAACCCTCTGACCGTGTTTTTGGTTTAAAACACCAACTTTGAGGTGTATTGTTGTATGGTATTTATGGTTGTATTTTCGTTTTCTTGGTCTCATTTGATAGAATGGAAGATATATTACAGAAATAGAGATGATTTTGATTGGTTTCATGATGAAAATGAGGCACCGAGGCCAAAACGGAAAACTGTTGGGGAATTGTAAGTACTGGAGGAATGCAAAGAGACTTGGGCTTATGAGACAGGTTCAGCTTTGCAGGTGATAGGTGTGAAGAAGCTGCAGGCGTGCGAGGCCTTGCAGACTGAGAAACTACCGGGTGAGAATAATAATTTGAGGTAGCGGGAGGGATGGAGGTGGGGGTTTCAGAGGGTAAAACTGCAAAAGAATTAGAGGACGGGGGTGACCCCAGAAGACATGACACCGGAAGAGCTGATAGGCGGGGTGACCGCCAAGGTTGGAGGTCTAGCTACTTGTGAATAAGGGATATAAGGAAGATTCTCCTGAAGGCAGAGCCAAAAGACAGCCTTAGCATAAGTAAGGCCTTCACTGTCCTTAAGACAACAGATTTCTCATGCATTACGATAGATCTGACAACGGCGGTAAAAAAGAAGGATGAGGTTCATTGTAATTGAGACAAGTGGGGGGGAGACTGCAAGATGTATCGGCATGATCTGTGGCACAGCAGACCAGACACGCTGCTGCAGATCTGCAGTATTTAGTGGGGTATCCAAAGTGCCAGCAATTTCGACACTGTTGGGGAGTAGGGACCACTTTACGGACCTCTAGGTGATAGCCCGCGATATAAACTGAGAACGGCAGTTCACGGCAAAGGTTAAGTGGGCAATGTTACTGGGAAAGCGCCTCTGCCCGCGAACAGGCAGGACATATGTATTCACTTTGAGAACAGGAAGATCCTGAAAGGCTAATTGCTCCAAAATATCATCACCAAAAGATAGAAAATCACTCTGTACAATGGTAACACTGCAAGAATTGAGAGTAGCATGCTTATGAACTGTGATTGGAATGGTATCAATGGAAGTAATATGGGAAAGATCATGAGCTTGTTCTGCATTCTGAATTGTAACAATGTGCGCACTGCTTTGAAGAGCATGAGAAGATATATTTTGGCCAGCATGTCATAAAAGAGCTTTACAAATATTATGGTCAGAAAGATAATCAGTTGAGGTTGGTTGTAGGGAAAAGAATTTAGTCCACTGTGTACTTGTAAACATGGTGCATCAAGGAAGTGGGTGTCACGTAGGTCGTTTTTGGGTAGAATGAGTAGACATTGAAGAACCATCATAAGTACAGTAAATGGTCTGGAACGTTTAGGTGTAGTACCGTGGGTGGCCAGACCCGAGGTAGGTGGGCGATCCGAAAACCGTCGCACCATATTTGGGGAAGCTGGACGCATAGTTAAAGGTGTGCAAGCGGCAAAAGCACTAGAAGAAAAGGGCGGAGCCTCAGCACCTGGAGTGGGTGACGAAGAGTCACCAGCAGAAGGTACAGGGGTATGGGAAGAGTCTGGAGAATGGTCCAATAATGAAGCCGGGTCAGAACAGGATGTGGTAACAAACAGGGACCTGGGAGGAGGGTTGTCATGGAACGAAGACTCCACGATGGGACTTTTTTTTTTTTTTTTTATGAAAAATAATAAGGACAATGGAAGGACGGTCACTAGAAGGCATGAAAGGGCCGGGGCTGTAAGTGCCCCCTCTCATCTGAGGGTACCACGAGCAGTGCAGATGCAGCGTGGAACCCGTGCCATACCCTACCAGTCACACCAATAAACCAGTGCTCCGGGATAGCAACCTCGCATCTATCGAGCCACCTTGGCGGACAAGAGAGGGTGGTTGGAAACCCGCTACAAGGCATACCTCCTTCGACTGCCACCTCCCAGAACCAACAGGCAACCTCTGGAGATACACCCATCACCTGCAGGACACTCCGCCCACTTCTCGGAAATCTGGGAAGGGAGCGGGGAGCCTCCAGATAATCAAGATTCCACAGCAAACTACACCACACCCAAGAAACCCCATGGAGCAGGATGAACCCTGGCATACTTCCACCTAGAAACCGTAATGCCAAAGGGGAGGACCCCAGAGGCTACAACCGAGACGGGAAAAAGGGAGGGTTGGGAGCGGGGAGGAAAGGGAAAAAGGGGAATGGGGAGGATGGAGGGGGGGGGGGTAATTAGGCTTGGTCTGAGGAAGGAGACCAAAGGGTCTAATTCCTTAGACCAAGAGCCTCTTTGCCACATCAAGGAGCCCCCCTTGAAGAGGCCAACCTTAAGCAGTACAGTAATACAAATTAAATATCCTGTTCAGTTTTTATTGATCTGTTACAGTTTAAGGATTACATTACAAAAAGTATTTTAGCATGTGTCTGGGGTGGGAGGAAATGTTCAATATAGTATTTACACGAACTCTAGTATAATGAAGTAATAACAGGGTGGGGAAAAAAGAGATGTATGTTACACAAAGATCAGTCATATCAAAATATACTCCAGACATGATTTGCCAGACACATTGAGATTTTGGCAGTTTGTTGCATTGAATGTTTGACCAGCCAGATATTACTAAAGGGTTTGTCTTTTATTGTAAAATTTGGCACTTGCTCTTTAACATATTAGCAGGTAGTGCCCTTGATGTGGAAGGACTCTTGCTCTTAAGAATTGGAGCTGCCTTTCTCAGATCAAACATACCACTCATTTTTTTTTTTCCAGGTGATGTATGGCCTGCAAGGGTTTACAACTTCTCCATCAATGCTGTATACATAGGTGCTACTTTAAATACACACCAAGGGGAGGGAAACAGGGTGCTTCCTGTTGAAAGGTCTCCAATCCCAGGAATTAACAGCTATCTTTTCCTTGGATAAAGCCTGATTTCCCCCTTTCTCCCATTACTCTCTTCAGTGGAGGATTCATTTTAATCCACAGGGGTCATGTAGTGCCTGGGAGGCATTCAGGTTCAATTGAAAGGAGGAGTTTCAATTTCTTGGATCAAAAGCCCCTGACTGGTATCAAGGCACCTCCCTGGAAGAGTCTTCAATGGAGGGGATGTCTTGATGCTGCTAAAAGCCTCTGTCAAAGGAATTATAACTACCCTTTCCTCCCTTGAAATAAAATCTAATTGCTTACCATTACTCAACGCTGTATAGCCCTTGTGGCTTAGCGCTTCTTTTTTATTATAGTAATAATTACAATTACTCAAGCACTGTGTGATCCCCTACAGGTTTAGTGCTTTCCCTATGAATATAGTGTTTTCAAAGTAACCCATTGAGAATACTGGCAAATTGCAAAAACTGTTGAATCTACTGGTCATTATGACTTTCACATAGATACATGTTATTAAACACTTATTTTAATGTCTCTGATGTGCCAACTACTGTATGCTGAATGATGGCCTGTAGCTCTAGTATACAAGGATTTTAATGCAGTGTTCATTAAAAAAATCTTGTAATATTAAGATGGTTTTTGTACACAATTACAAACTTATTTATATGTGCATTCTCCATAGGTTACATCATTCTAAACACTACACCCCTTGTATTCTTTGCCCCCCCCCCACCCTTTCCTTAAAACTTGTTTGCTGATTTGTGACCTTTGATGTAGAATGTACCATGGATTCTGTTTTGTAAGCTACACCTTGTGGGACTTGTTTTTGTGAACTTTTTTTTTTTTTCATGAGCTGTTATCCATTTTTAACGCCATTGCTCTTATCCTGTTGTAGAGCGCTCTTATGGCCTTGGAATGTTTCATGCCTTCTGCTCTTTTCTGTGTTGAGATCATTGGCATATTTCAATACCCTGAAAAATGAAGAAATATTTTTTTTTAAATTAAGCTGAGGAAGGATAAATATAAAACTTAAGAACTCTTATGTTGCAAATGGTGCCTGTGTAGCTGCTGAACCAGTGACATTTAGGTTTTTGAAAAAGCGAGCCTTGTGGGTTTAGGGCTTAGTTTTGATAACTGAAAAAAACTGAATTCTATATTTTGTTTAAAACATCTTCATAATCACAAACTCTAATTCACTTAATTCTACATACTGTGTGTGTTGTGTCTTCATAAGAGATGTTCTTGAAGGAGATTGCCTTGATGCTGGTCCCTTGATCTCAGTAATTTTAATCATCTTCCCCTTCAGATTAAACCCATGATTACTGTACTTCCTATTTCCCAGGTGCTGTATGACCCATACAGGGTCATACATCACCTAGAAATGGGAAGTGATCAGGCTTGATTGAAAGAGGATGCTCATCACTAACATCAAGGTATTTGGTTTTGGACTAACTCCTGAGACTCAAATTAACAGAGATGGAAGGGAAAAATTTTGGTTTGGAAAAATCTAGTTTACAAGAACTTCTCAAGGATTACACCTGCTGAGGTATTGACTGTTTTAGGTGCAAAATATAAAATCTGAAAATTTCAGTAAAAAACAAGAAATTCCATATCCCTTTCAATCTTATTCATAGTGAGCTTTTTGGTAAACTAAACTAGAATGACATTAAGTAGGAAACATATGCACCAATAATTATTCAGTACTGTAAATGCCTTGCCAGAAGAGTGTGGACACCCCAATTCAATGACCATCCAAACTGCGACATGCTCACTCATTCTTTAGGGTGCACTGTATTTCCCACCTCTAGGACTTGGTTCAGCTATCAGATCTCAATGAACTAATAAATGTTACCTTGCTCACACTAACTGAATATCAAATTTAAAGAAAAACTTGTGTTATGCAATCTAAAATGTTCACACATGCCTGCTGGATACTCAGACCTCTACCACTCAAAACAACCTACATCCTTCCCTGTAATTTCACAGGACAACCCATACCCTTTCTTCCACCCAGGATTTAGTGAACTTTTAATCATAAGTTAATAATAAAAAAATATGATTGTAACTTTGGTGACATTATTGCTGGTAAGGGGGTCTTAATCCAAAGAAATGAACCTATGCTCCTTTTCCTTGGATCAGACTCAATTGCCTTCCATTCCCCAGGAACTTCCGTCAAGGGAGCCCTTGATTCAGGTGAAGGACTAAGCCAAGGAATTGGAGTTACTCTTCCTTTCTTCAGGTCAAACTTTATTACCTCCCACTTCCCAAATGCTGTATGACTTTCCCATTATTGCAATAGTAAAAATAATACTCTATTGTTATCCCTAATCTATTTAGAGCTGAATGACCCCAAACAGGTTTAGCACTTTATGATGCTGAAGCTGTGAACATTGATGGTTTTAAATCCCTATATGGTATTGGGAATGCATCCACTATTCCAAAACAGAATAATCCAAGGACATTTACTTGAGTTACCGTATTATCACAGTTACATGCAATTCTCACCATTATTATGCATTTTGTGACCATGTCTGATTTATCATTTGTGGTTTTCAACTCGAAAGTTTCTCACAAGCATCTAGAATTTTGACTCCTATCATTAACCACGTACAACTTTGGTTGTTGTATTTCTAGTACAGTGTATACATAAGGAAGTTATCTGCTGCATCCCTAGATATGCCAACATTCAGGGCAATGAATAAGAAAACTCAGCTACTTGGTCAGCTATTCATGACCTCTCAATTTCCCATGGGGGTATTCCTTTCTCAAGATATTTTTTTCTGTACTCTCTTAGCACCTCTGCAGGCAATGGCAACAACATTTGTCTGAGTTATAATGCAACAAAGTGCTTTCTATCAAACCCTGATTGGAATTGTGGCCATCTTCCTACCACTGTTGGATTTAGGAAACTGCACTTTATGAATCGGATGCAAACAACTCGTACACGGACATCACATGGAGAAATGACTGGCATCAACTTGCAAGAACTGCCAGGTCACTGTCAGTTCACCATGTCTAAATAATAATAATAGACTGTTCTGTCAGTGGGTATGCAAAATTCATCTCTATTTATAATGCCCCAACATAACTGACTTCCTGAAAGTCCCACCTTTGACTGGCACACACGCACACCCACTTACTTTAACGAAAAGTAACCCCCGACCTCCACCAATCTCCTAACCTTTGTACACCCCTACCTTACATACAGCATTGTATGATCCATATGGGTTTAGTGCACAAAATAATTAATTCAATTTTCACATCCATCTGAAAAAATGCTACTAAACCTGTATAGTTTATTCAGCAAACACTGGCAAATTACACATACTTACTTATTTGCGATCTTTCTTGTACTCTTGCAAAAGGGTTTCCAGTTCATTCCTCAGAGGATTTAGAGATGAATCATCAGGAACAGGAGGGTTTTTCCTCTTTTGTCTTCCAGTGTGTGAGCCTGTAACTGCCTCTTGCATAACTGTCTCTATGTCCTTATCACTGAACTGGTAAGAAATCTGTGGCATATGTTAAATGTTTAAATATTAAATGACAAAACATTACCAAATTTTTAAAATACAAATATTTAAAGGCACAACTATGAAAATTTAGTTCCTATAACATTGTAGATAAAGTACAGGTTGGCCATCACTAATCTGGCAATCAGTAATCCAGTTCCATTAGTAATCCAGCACTAATTTCAGCTAACATAATTTCAAATTTCTGGGGTTGCCACACTAACCTGCCACTGCTGAACCAGCTCACTTTTAACCCTAGCCATGGTTCCAACGAATAAAAGTAATGCCTCTCATTGTGTAAAGCACATAAACTGTACACCGTCCATACAAGATAGTGGCTTTGCAGCCACTGTCGGTCACCATGAACTCAGCTCACTGAGATAAGGTCTGAGAGAATAGGTCTGTGTGGTAATTGTGCACTATACAAAAAAAAAATCCTGCAGCACACAGTGCATAATGAGAAAAAAACTGCAACTGTGTTTATGGTGTAAACCTGACTTTGCAGTGTATTTCTGTATGGTTGTATTCTTGTTTTTTCAATATGTGCTGATGTTCAAGAGTAAACAAATGATGTCACTGTCCAATACGTGTCCAACTGGCCAGTCTAATACGCAGTCACGAATGGGTTGACATTATTTATACAATTATTACAATAATGTAGTAGTTCCTTTATACTCCCATCTATCTGATATTCAATCTATTATTGCCTATTATTATTATTATAATCATGGGGGAGTGCTAAACCCTATTATTGCCTAGACTTTCTTATCCTCATCACCTTGCTCATTTCCAATTTTTTTTTTTTCACATTCCCTCCCAAATTTGTTCACCAACCTCTGCAACTTGTCCTCAGAATCCCCAAAAGAAGTGTGTTATCAATAAAAAAGCAATTGTGACAACTCCCACTTTGTATTAGATCTAATATCTTAATCCTACACCTCTTTCAAATAAATGGCACAAAGACTAACTTACCAGGTGAAGAGAATGTGGAAAGTTTCCCTGTTCCCTCTCAACTGCGAGGTGCTGGTTGAAATTTCTATGTGGAACCAAATAATGGGGGCAGCCTGGAATCTGACATGCATTGCGCAGCAGTTTTAGATCCACATTATACCTATAATTGAAAATAATATTAGGTACTGCATTTAACTTGTAAAATTATAAACTAAATAAAGTAAAAAGTGCTAAAACAAACAAAAATAAGTCACAGGTTGAGAGCCTAGATTCAACCTATTCCTCTTTTATTTTACCAAACTTTTAATGCTTATTCCTTCAATGAGGGAGAAATGGAGGCCTTATGTTGAAGACCTGTTGATCTACAGAATTTGAGCTAGCCTTCCCTTTTTTGGATCAAATTAATTACCTCTCATTTCCCAGGCAATGTGTGACACTTATGGGTTGAACACTGCACCATGGCATATTATATATTAGACTTATATTTTATTATAAATTATCAAAGCTTCATATACATATACTTTATGTATAAATTTATTTCCCATATATAACTAAAATGGCATACAAGTTTCACTGACTCACACTATAATGTTAAAATGTGTATAAACTAGAAAAGGTTTAATTAAAAAAAAAAGGCAATTAGTTCTTTGAAAGTATAGTAATTACATTATATTTTAAATGTGACAACAAAAATAGTGATTTTTAACTCTTTCAGGGTCGGTGCTGTACTTGTACAGCTTGAGAGCCACAGTCCACCGAGAGAAAGCTGGTAGGCCTACATATGAGAGAATGGGTCTGCATGATCAGTGTGGAAGTATAAAAAAAATCCTGCAGCACACAGTGCATAATGAGAAAAAAAACTCCGACCATGTTTTTGGTTTAAAACAACAATTTTGCAGTGCATTTTCATATGGTATTTATGGTTGCCTTCTCGTTTTCTTGGTCTCATTTGATAGAATGGAAGATATGTTATAGAAATGGATATGATTTTGATTGGTTTCACAATTAAAAGTACAGTGGACCCCCGGTTAACGATATTTTTTCAATCCAGAAGTATGTTCAGGTGCCAGTACTGACCGAATTTGTTCCCATAAGGAATATTGTGAAGTAGATTAGTCCATTTCAGACCCCCAAACATACACGTACAAACGCACTTACATAAATACACTTACATAATTGGTCGCATTCGGAGGTGATCGTTATGCGGGGGTCCACTGTACCTTGAAATTGAGCTCAAAGTAGCGGAAATGTCTTATCTTTCGGTTTCATTACCTTCAGAAAAAAATTCTTTAACATTTCATAAGATAAAATTATTATTTTGAAAGTTCTTCGACCCTGGAAGGAAGTTTGTGAGCAGAGGTCATTACACTGAAATGGTTAACACAACCCCATAATGCAGCTTTACGTACCTATAAACCTGATTGAAAGTTTCTTCTGTAACTTCAATTCCTTTAGCCTGAGCCGCTTCAACAATCTGTTTGCAGGTTAGAGGCATTACCAATGGACTGTGAATTGTCATATAAGCCTTGTGCCACTCTTGAACAGCAAACTCTTCAACCTAGCAGCAAAAATCAATTCTTTTAGATTAAAAAAGAATTTCATGATTAATTTTTTGCAATCTTCCTTTACAACTTACAGCATTTTCTTACATTAAAACTGCAATAATAATAATAACGATTATTATACTATTTTCAAAATTCCTAAATAGTGAATTGCTCTTGATTCCAAAATGGAGTTACCTTTCACTTCATTGGATCAAACCTGATTACCTCTCATTTCCCAGGCCCTGCATGACCCTTACGTGTTTAGTGTTTCCTCGTGAATATTACTATATATTATTATTACTAGTTATAATACCCTACAAATTTCAGCATAGTATATAGATATTTTTTACTATATCAGTACTGTTATAAAATTTAAAACTAACTATAGATGTACAGCAGAACTCCCACATCCACTGATTTGGTATCCACGGTTTACTGTGGTTCAAAAATACCTCTTAATTTTACATAATGATGGCCCCAAAGTGAAAAAATGGAAAAGCTGGAAGTTCTTGAAAGCCTAAGAGAAGCCATGAAGCGCTTCCCATCAGTGAAAAAGTGATAATTTTCCACTTACTGAGCATAATTTATCAAACTTTATAATAAGTATGTACAAGACTTATCCCCCATGGATACGGGGGTCCTACTGTACATGTACAGTACTGTAATATTTAAAGTGAACACTATGTATTACACATCATTATGATCAAGGGGACTGAACTTTTAAGAAATACAATAGTGTTAACATTAACCCTTTCGTGGTTTCGGCCATACTAGTATGGCTTACATGCCAGGGTTATTGACGTACTAGTACGCATAAATTCTAGCGCCCTCAAATCTAGCGAGAGAAAGCTGGTAGGCCTACATATGAAAGAATGGGTCTATGTGGTCAGTGTGCACAGTATAAAAAAAATTCTGCAGCACACAGTGCATAATGAGAAAAAAAAAAAGACTTTGACCGTGTTTTTGGTTTAAAACAGCGACTTTGCACTGTATTTTCGTATGGTATTTATTGTTGTATTCTAGTTTTCCTGGTCTCATTGTATAGAATGGAAGACATATTACAGAAATTGAGATGATTTTGACTGGTTTTACAATGAAAAGTACCTTGAAATTGAGCTCAAAGTAGCAGAAATGTTTGATTTTTACCAAAGTTCAAAAGTAAACAAATCATGCTAAGTGTCCAATACACATCAACTGGTGAGTCTAATATTCTTTCACAAGTGCGCCGATATTATTTATACCATTTCTACACTAATGCAGTAGTCTGCATAACAGTAAATCTTATTTTTTTGTGAGAATAAAAAATCAAAGTTGAAAGCAAAAGAAATGTAAGAGGGGCCTGGGGACGTGACTAATGAACAGAGGAAATGTTATTTTAGTGCCAGGAATGTCTTTCTTGTTTATTCTGGACCCTATTTGGAAATTGGCATCTTTTGAAATTTGTGTGAAATTGGCAAAATTGCTAAATTCTGACCACTTTATTGGATAGTTGCAATTGGTAAATGGGTGGTTTCTTGTACTCATTCCATAGAAAAAAATGGAGTTCTAGTGAAATAGTTATGATTTTTGTCGACTAGTACACTGGAATTGGCCGAAAATAGGGCTCAAAGCGGGCAAAATTGCCGATGCGTAAACATTGTTGAGACCGCTAACTTCGAGAGAGCATAATTCCGTAAGTTTTCCATCAAATTTCATACTTTTGGTGTCATTATGATTGGGAAAAGATTCTCTATCTTTTCATAAGAAATAATTTTTTTGTTTTTGAAATTTTGGCGAGCCTGAGAACAAGTCTCTGAGAGGGCCTGGTGACCCTCAAAGGGTTAAGTACTAATCGGCAGTTATACATTATTAACTCAAGAAACAGAAAGAGCTCAAATACATGGCAAGCCAGTGTTAAAACTAGCAGGCCAGTGCTTTAACTACTAGTACATGCAGGCTTAATAAGATTCATCAAAATAGTTATATCTTTTTAAACATGCTATATAACCTCTCTAATGAAGAGAAATATACCTGGTTGGGCGAATCTTATTAAACCTGTGAGACCAGTGAAGAGACCACTGGTCTGCTGTTGCAAGACTGGCTTGCCACAGATTTCAACCCTGCTGTTTCTTTGAGTTCCTTACAATCATGCTATGACAAGTTTTGCGAGTAATGTGCAGTATACCATGTACAGTACTATAATTACATATCATTAATACTATATGAGAAGAGAATATAAAAGTTATAAAAGAAAAGAAACTATTATATTTAGGACTATAACAATGATGCAAATACTAACAATATTTGTAATACAGCATTGAGTAACAATAAAGTGGTACCATAGTTTTTCAGTAATAGGTAGTTTCTAATAGTACAATGGACCCTCAGCTAACGATATTAATCCATTCCTGAAAGCTCATCATTAGATGAAATTATCGTTAGCTGAATTAATTTTCCCCATAAGAAATAATGGAAATCAAATTAATCCGTGCAAGACACCCCAAAGTATGAAAAAAAATTTTTTTTTACCACATGAAATATTAATTTTAATACACACAAACTGACACTTACCTTTATTGAAGATCTGGTGATGATTGATGGGATGGGAGGAGGGGAGAGTGTGGAAGTTGTTAATGTTTAGAAGGGGAATCCCCTTCCATTAGGACTTGAGGTATCAAGTCCTTTTCCGGGGTTATTTCCCTTCTTCTTTTAATGCCACTAGGACCAACTTGAGAGTCACTGGACCTCTGTCGCACAACATATCTGTCCATAGAGGCCTGTACCTCCCGTTCCTTTATGACTTTCCTAAAGTGGTTCACAACATTGTCATTGTAATAGCCACCAGCATGGCTTGCAATAGCTGTGTGAGGGTGATTTTCATCAAAAAAGGTTTGCACTTCAAGCCACTTTGCACACATTTCCTTAATCTTTGAGGTAGGCAACCTCTTCAATTTCTCTATCCCCTCCTCCGAAGCAGTTTCCTCAGGTCTGGCCTCTTGCTGTTGAAGATGATCTTGCAGCTCATCAGTGGTTAGTTCTTCGCTGTCCTCCTCCACCAACTCTTCCACATTCTCCCCACTAACCTCCAACCTCAAGGACTTCCCCAATGCCACAACTGATTCCACAACTGGCATACACTTCTCAGGGTTAGCCTCAAATCCTTCAAAATCCCTTTTGTCTACACATTCTGGCCACAGTTTCTTCCAAGCAGAGTTCAAGGTCCTCTTAGTCACTCCCTCCCAAGCCTTACCTATAATGTTTACACAATTGAGGATGCTAAAGTGATCTCTCCAAAACTCTCTTAGAGTCAATCGAGTTTCTGTGGTCACTACAAAGCACTTTTGAAACATAGCTTTTGTGTAGTTTTTTGAAGTTTGAAATGGCCTGCTGGTCCATGGGCTGCAGGAGAGGAGTGGTATTAGGAGGCAAAAACTTGACCTTAATGAAGCTCATGTCCCCAGAAAGTCGCTCTTCCAAGTCTGAAGGATGACCAGGAGCACTGTCTAATACCAGGAGGCACTTAAGGTCCAATTTATTTTCCAGGAGGTAATTTTTCACAGTGGGGGCAAATGCATGGTGTAACCAGTCATAGAAAAGGTCTCTAGTGACCCATACCTTACTGTTTACCCTCCACATCACACACAAATTAGCCTTGAGGACATTGTTTCTCCTGAATACTCTGGGAGTTTCAGAGTGATACACCAATAAAGGCTTCACTTTGCAATCACCACTAGCATTAGCACACATCAAGAGAGTAAGCCTGTCTTTCATAAGCTTATGTCCTGGGAATGCCTTTTCCTCCTGAGTAATGTAGGTCCTGTTCGGCATTTTCTTCCAAAACAGGCCTGTTTTGTTGCAATTAAACACTTGTTCAGGTTTCAATTCTTCACTGTCTAAGTAATCCTTGAATTCCTTCACATATTTTTCAGCCACTTTTTGGTCCGAACTGGCAGCCTCACCATGCCTTATCACATTATGTATGCCACTACGATTCTTAAATCTCTCAAACCAACCTTTGCTGGCCTTAAATTCACTCATATCACTACTAGTTGCAGGCATTTTTCTAATTAAATCCTCATGCAACTTCCTAGCCTTTTCACATATGATCGCTTGAGAGATGCTATCTCCTGCTATCTGTTTTTCGTTTATCCACACCAATAACAGTCTCTCAACATCTTCGAGTACTTGCGATCTCTTATTCGAAAACAAAGTTGCACCTTTTGCAAGAACAGCTTCCTTGATTGTCGTTTTCTTGGCCACAATAGTCTCCAAGACACGCACTCCACTTTCGTACTTAGCAATTATCTCTTTCTTCATATCCATAGTAATTCTCACCCTTTTTCCTGCAGGGTTGGCACTAGAAGCTTTCTTGGGGCCCATGGTGACTTATTTTGCTGATACAATCACTAAAAACGCTGTGATAATATGAAATGTTCCAATTGTATGTGTAGATGCGACTGCACTTGCTGGCTTGTAAACACTGGCACCCATGGGACAACTGAGGTGTGCTAAGGCCACACGTGGATGCGTCTCAAACGAATCGCATTGGGCAAGTTTTTTAGCGTTAGCCGAGGCAAAATTTTTGCGTTAAAATGTATCGTTGGCCAGATTTAACATTAGCTGATGCCATCGTTAGCTGAGGGTCCACTGTAATTCCAATTTATCAGGTACAGCAGTTACAGTTTGGTAAATGAGAGTAACTGAGTACAATTAAGCTCAAAAGTAAAGTACAGAAGAGGTATCTCAGTTTATTCAACTTCTGACAAAAAATGGGTATCTGTCATAAAGAACAAAATTTCACAATACAATGGCTGGAACAGTACACAAATAACCTACACACAGGAAAAACTAATGACAACATTTCAGTCTAACTTAGACTGTAAATAAGTCACACTGAGGCGAGAAGGGAAGGTCAGAATACATACGGGAGGGGGTGGGGAAAGAAGAATGGTAGAACAAGATGGAAAAGGAGGTGAAGGAAGAGGAGAAACAGCAATAGTAGTGATAGTAGAATAGTAGCAGAATAGCAACAGTAGAGTAGTAGTAATATAGTATAGTAGTAGTATAGAAGTAGTATAGTAATAATAGTATAGTAGTAATAGTATAACATCCCACCCCTCTGAAGGAGTGGTGATGTTCTGGTTAGGAGGGTAATCCAAATTGTGATGTTGGAACCCTTTTGGACGAAGTGATTGAATGAGTGACAGTGAAAATGTTTTCTTCTTTGCTGGGTCACCCAACTTTGGTAGGAGGCAGCCGAAGTGTTAAGAAGACAAAAGAGTTACCTGCTATCTAACATTTTAAAGTGACAAAGAAACAATCAGTAAATAATCTTGCCAGAGTATAAAATATTCAACAGGCTGATTGTGATTCACCCATTTTCTCTTCTTTGGGAAAGCAAATAAGGGTAGGGTGAGTGGAGTAGCCCTCCCTATGTCAGTGGTACCCCTCTTAAAAAAAAAAAAAAAAAAGAATTTCATCAGAATTAAAAAAAATTATGTACTGTATGAATGTGGTTTATCTACCTTTTATTTTCCAGCTGACTTACCTCTGTCAATAAAATATCTTTGAGATTCCTTGCATTTTCTTGTGTCACTTTTTCCTTGATCAATTTGAGAGCTTTTTCACTCGTATCTAAATCTTTAGAGCGGCGGTCCCTTGAGCTGTTATGTTGAAGAGCTTCACTTACATACACAAGAACCTGAAAATTTAATCCAAAGAATGATGCATTAGTTGTTAAATTTCTTAACACTCCAGCCATCTCCCACCATGGTAGGGTGATCCAACAAAGAAAAAAAAAACACTTTAGATCTCACTCATTCAATCACTGTTGGATGTCTAAGCCCCTAGCACTCAAAACCACCTTTATCCCCTCCCTTCTACCATTCCTAGGATGACCCTTACCCCTCCTTCCCTCCACCCCAGATTTATACACCCTCCTTCTCATCCAACTTTTTCCACCCTCTCTAAATGTCCAAACCACATCAACAACCACTCCTCAGCCCTCAGGATAATACTCTTGGTAACTCCACACTTCTTCCTAATCTACAAACTTCAAATTCTCTCCATAATATTCACACTAAACATTGCCCTCAAACATGACATCTCTACTACGTACTTCCAGCCTACTCCTCAATGCAACATTCAAAACCCATGCTTCACACCAATACAATAGTGTTGGTACCACTATACTCTGATATATTTCCCTTTTTGCACTACTAACCCCTTTTCCCTCCTTCAATTCTATGGCTCGCCTTATCTCTCACAAAACCATCTGCAAACAGGTCCACTCCCAAATATTTCAACACATCTATTTCCTTACAAAGCAAAAGAAATTATGGGTTGACAAGTTTTTAAAAATCTTCCAAAACAAAATCTGCATTGTGCTTCTCCAATATCAGTTATTCTTTTTATCGAACTGTCTTGCATTTATACATATACAAAGGAAGTCATAATGCAAGAATATGTACTGGTATTTTTAATTTTCGATAGGTAGACAGCAACCGCCCAGGGAGGTACTACCGTCCTGCCAAGTGAGTGTAAAACGAAAGCCTGTAATTGTTTTACATGATGGTAGGATTGCTGGTGTCCTTTTTTCTGTTTCATAAACATGCAAGATTTCAGGTATGTCTTGCTACTTCTACTTACACTTAGGTCACACTACACATACATGTACAAGCGTATATATACATACCCCTCTGGGGTTTCTTCTATTTTCTTTCTAGTTCTTGTTTATTTCCTCTTATCTCCATGGGGAAGTGGAACAGAATTCTTCCTCCGTAAGCCATGCGTGTTGTAAGAGGCGGCTAAAATGCCGGGAGCAAGGGGCTAGTAACCCCTTCTCCCGTATAAATTACTAAATTTGAGAGAAACTTTCGTTTTTCTTTTTGGGCCACCCTGCCTTGGTGGGATACGGCCGGTGTGTTGAAAGAAAGATATATATATATATATACAGTGGACCCCCGGTTAACGATTTTAATCCGTGCAAGAGGGCTCATCGTTATGCGAAATAATCGTTATGCGAATGAATTTTCCCCATAAGAAATAATGGAAATAAAATTAATCCGTGCAAGACGCCCAAAAGTATGAAAAAAAATTTTTTTTTACCACATGAAATGTTAATTTTAATACACACAAACTGAAAAAGGCATGCACAATTAAATGACACTTACTTTTATTGAAGATCTGGTGATGATTGATGGGATGGGAGGAGGGGAGAGAGTGTGTTAGTGTTTAGAAGGGGAATCCCCTTCCATTAGGACTTGAGGTAGTAAGTCCTTTTCTGGGGTTACTTCCCTTCTTCTTTTAATGCCACTAGGGCCAGCTTCAGAGTCACTGGACTTCTTTCGCACAAGATATCTGTCCATAGTGGCCTGTACCTCTCGTTCCTTTATGACTTGCCTAAAGTGTTTCACAACATTGTCAGTGTAATAATCACCAGCACGGCTTGCAATAGCTGTGTGAGGGTGATTTTCATCCATGAAGGTTTGCACTTCAAGCCACTTTGCACAGATTTCCTTAATCTTTGAAGTAGGCAACTTCTTCAATTTCTCTCTCCCCTCCTCCGAAGCAATTTCCTCAGGTGTGGCCTCTTGCTGTTGAAGTTGATCTAGCAGCTCATCAGTGGTTTGTTCTTCATTGTCCTCCTCCACCAACTCTTCCACATCCTCCCCACTAACCTCCAACCCCAAGGACTTTCCCAATGCCACAATGGATTCCTCAACTGGCACAGGATTCTCAGGGTTAGCCTCAAACCCTTCAAAATCCCTTTTGTCTACACATTCTGGCCACAGTTTCTTCCAAGCAGAGTTCAAGGTCCTCTTTGTCACTTCCTCCCAAGCCTTACCTATAAGGTTTACACAATTGAGGATATTAAAGTGATCTCTCCAAAACTCTCTTAGAGTCAGTTGACTTTCTGAGGTCATTACAAAGCACCTTTCAAACAGAGCTTTTGTGTACAGTTTCTTGAAGTTGGAAATAACCTGCTGGTCCATGGGCTGCAGGAGAGGAGTGGTATTAGGAGGCAAAAACTTCACCTTAATGAAGCTCATGTCCCCATAAAGTCGCTCTGCCACGTCTGTAGGATGACCAGGGCATTGTCTAACACCAGGAGGCACTTAAGTTCTAATTTCTTTTCAGTTAGGTAATTTTTCACATTGGGGGCAAATGCATGGTGTAACCAGTTATAGAAAAATTCCCTAGTGACCCATGCCTTACTGTTTTGCCCTCCACAGCACACACAAATTATCCTTGAGGACATTCTTTTGCCTGAACGCTCTGGGAGTTTCAGAGTGATACACTAATAAAGGCTTCACTTTGCAATCACCAGTAGCATTGGCACACATCAACAAAGTAAGCCTGTCTTTCATAGGCTTATGTCCTGGGAGTGCCTTTTCCTCCTGAGTAATGTAGGTCCTGCTTGGCATTTTCTTCCAGAACAGGCCTGTTTCATCACAATTAAACACTTGTTCAGGTTTCAGTCCTTCAGTTTCTATGTACTCCTTGAATTCCTGCACATATTTTTCAGCCGCTTTGTGGTCCGAACTGGCAGCCTCACCATGCCTTATCACACTATGGATGCCACTACGCTTCTTAAATCTCTCAAACCAACCTTTGCTGGCCTTAAATTCACTCACATCATCACTAGTTGCAGGCATTTTTTTTAATTAAATCGTCATGCAACTTCCTAGCCTTTTCACATATGATCGCTTGAAAGACGCTATCTCCTGCTATCTGTTTTTCATTTATCCACACCAATAAGAGTCTCTCAACATCTTCCATCAATTGCGATCTTTGTTTCGAAAAACACAGTTGAACCTTTGGCAAGAACAGCTTCCTTGATTGTCTTTCTGGTGCCCACAATAGTAGCGATGGTTGATTGGGGTTTCTTGTACAGCTTGACTAGGTCGGCTATACGCACTCCACTTTCATACTTATCAATTATCTCTTTCTTCATCTCTATAGTAATTCTTACCCTTTGAGGTGTAGGGTTGGCACTAGAAGCTTTCTTGGGGCCCATGGTCACTTATTTTCCAGAAACAGCACCGAAAATACTGTAATAATACGAAATATTCCGAGTGTATGCTTGGATGTTACCGCGGAGGCTGGCTGGTAAACAATGGGACGGAGCGGCACATGTGAGGCTGGCTGAGGGCACATTGGACGCGTCTCGGACGAAAATCGGTATGCGGGTTTTTAATCGGTATGCGGGGCAAAAATTTTGCGATAAAAGTAATCGTTATGCGGAAAAATCGCTATGCGATGCCATCGTTATGCGGGGGTCCACTGTATATATATATTTTTTTTTTTTTTTTTTTTCAACAAGTCGGCCGTCTCCCACCGAGGCAGGGTGACCCAAAAAAGAAAGAAAATCCCCAAAAAGAAAATACTTTCATCATCATTCAACACTTTCACCACACTCGCACATTATCACTGTTTTTGCAGAGGTGCTCAGAATACAACAGTCTAGAAGCATACACATATAAAGATACACAACATATCCCTCCAAACTGCCAATATCAAACCATCCTTTATAAGTGCAGGCATTGTACTTCCCAATTTCCAGGACTCAAGTCCCGACTATATGAAATAAACGGTTTTCCCTGAATCCCTCACTTAATATTACCCTGCTCACATCCAAAAGATCGTAATGGTCCCATAGACCATTCGTCTCCATTCACTCCTAACACGCTCACGCACGCTGGCTGGAAGTCCAAGGCCCCTTACCACAAAACCTCCTTTACCCCCTCTCTCCAAAACCCTTTCGAGGACGACCCCTACCCCGCCTTCCTTCCCCTTATAGTTTTTTATGCCCTTCTCCATGTCATTCTACTTTGATCCATTCTCTCTAAATGACCAAAACCACCTCAACACCCCCTCTTCTGCCCTCTGACTAATACTTTTATTAACTCCCTACACCTTCTCCTAATTTCCACACTCGAATTTTTCTGCATAATATTACCACCACCTCAATCTGCCCTAAACAGGACATCTCCATGCCTCCAACCGTCTCCTCGGCTGCTGCATTTACCACCAAGCTTCACACCCATATAAGAGTGTTGGTACTAATATACTTTCATACATTCCCTTCTTTGCCTCCATAGATAACGTTTTTGATCCCACATATACCTCAACGCACCACTCAACCTGTTTTCCTCATCAATACTATGAATAACCTCATCCTTCATAAATCCATCCGCCGACAACGTCAATACCAAGTATTGAAAACATTCACTTCTTCCATACTCCTCCTCCCCAATTTGATACTCATTTCTTTATCTAAAACATTTGACTCCTCAATCACCTTACTATTTTCTATGTTCACTTTCACTTTCTACCTTTACACACATCCAAACTCATCCACTAACCTTTGCAATTTTTCTTAAGAATCTCCATTAGCACAGTATCATCTAAGCAAAAAGTAACTGCTGTTCAATTCCCATTTGAATTTGGATTCACCATATTTAATCCACCCCTCTCCCTAACACCATAGCAATTAATTCCTTAAAACCCCATCTATAAATATATTAAACAACCATGGTGAATTACACATCCTGTCTAAGACTACTTTTACCGGAAAATTAGTCTCCCTCTCTTCTAACACCCTAACCTGAGCATCACTATCTTCCCATAAAAACTCTTTACAGCCATTTAATAACTACCACTATTCCATATACTGTGCAACATCTGCCACATATTATA